GATGTTTTTTAAATGTACGTTTTTGGGAATCTCACTACAAGAAAAATGCACAAAGACAACATTACAAAGACAACGATTTTTAACAAAAGTGTTGTCTTTTGTTTAAAAGATAACACTTTTGTCTAAAACGGCTGTCTTTGATGCAACACTTTTGTCAAAGACAACGATTTTTACCGAACCGTTGTTGTGACACCCCGAAAATCCAATTCCCTAAATAGGATTAATTATGTAATTAATCCTAGCTCTCTTTGTGAATGGTCCCTTATAATTCCTTAATTAAATAGTCGGGGGACCAAATGTTGACTAATTCACTAGTCAACTAAGTGTACATGATGCCTTATGCATTATACTAAGCCTTTAATCCTTCCCTAGCATTTATTTGACTCAAGAGGGACCCGCTTCTATGTTACTTTTCAGATTTTTGTCCTAAAAACCCTACCCCAACCAAGAGAAAACAAAGTCATTCTAATATTACCACTTCTCTCTACAATTTCTCTACCTTCTCTCTAGAAAGACTAGCTTTCTCTCCAAGCCAAGTAAAATCCACCTTCATCCTTGCAAGAGAACTCTCCAAGATTCCAGCTTTCCACCATTAAAGCACTAGGAAGTGTAAGATCTTAGTCTAGTTGGTGTTTTTGAGTAGCTTTACTTAGTCTAAGTTGTGATTTTTCTTTGTGTGCTTGGTTGTGTTGAGAAGATTTGGTTGAGGAGGAACTTCAAGGAGAAGTCTAGGGGCTAGAAAGGAAGTGTATCTTGGTCTACAAAGGTAACCCATGCTTTACAAAACCTACTTTACATTTGCTATAATGATTCTTGATACTTTATTTGATGTTCTTGTGAGATTTGATGCATAATCTTGTGTTTATGCATGTTAGAGCTTGTATCTAGGGTTCTTAAATGCTATCTTTTAAGCTATTCATGTCTTCAAGTCATTTCCTTGTTGAATGTGAGGTTTTGGGTGTTTTGGACTTGAACTTGGCCTTGTTGATGTTTTTCCCCAAAGGGAAATTTCGCCTTGGGTACGTGTACCCGCGGGTGAAACAGCGGGTGACTGTCCACCCGCCGTTCCACCCGCGGGTGGAAGGGTGTGGGTACCGGCGGGCAGAGCCGCGGGTGGAAGTCCACCCGCTGGTACCTGTAAGGGGGTGTGGCGGGTGGTTGTCCACCCACCGTTCTGCCCACTGGTACGTGATGTTTTGGCCTCCGTTTTGTTGAATCATTGTGCACTTGTGTGTCTCTTTTGATGTTTCGTATGTCTAGAACGGTGTCCTAAGTATCCATGATAGGATTACGAGTCTTGAATCGTGCTTGTGGTCCAACTTTGTGATTCGTTGGATTATTGTGAAGTCATTGAGGTTCGGATGACCCGTTATATTTCTCCTATTGATGTACATGCTAGTTTTACTGTTGTTGATGCTAGTATATGTTGTTCGTTTGTTCTTAATGAGGATTGACAACTTGTGTTGCCAATCATGGCAGTCTTTGGATTAAAGTCGTCTATCGTTGATGTATCATTGTTTGATGGTCTATTCATGACTTTCATTGAATCGGTTGTATTCCTTAATGTAATCTTGTACATAGTTGTACCCGTTTGTTGATACTTGATTGGGCTATTGATGAGCATCAATCCTCTATGATGAGGACTATGTAATGTTATATGATTGGTGGACAATAATGAAAGGAGATAGACTATCACGTGATTAGTACTATTCTACGTGACTATTGACACTACGAGTGTTCCCGTTTGGCGGTTAAAGCTGGCGGATGCAAGCGGGGGGGGGGGGGGGGGGGGGGGGTGGATCGCTGCGGAGGAATAATGTTGGACTCGGTGTACAGGGTGGCACTAGGAGGTAAATGTTGGAACTATAATAAGGTTGGCCTGGAGAGAATGGTTGGAACATGGCATAAGGTTGGAACTTGGTACTCATCTTTGAATGTGAATCTTGTCTCTCATGGTTCATGAGAGTGATTTATGATTGTCTCTTGATTGGTTATCGTTTGATATATCTTGTTGTTGAGCATGTTGTTTCCTCGATCTTGTTGATCATTGAGTAATTTGTTGGAATTGGTCTTTGGTTGAGAGTGACGTCATGATGAGTCTTATGTTGTTCCTTTCTTATTTTTAAAGGATTATATATATTGTATTCCAAAGTCTCAAATACTTTTCTTTATATCTATATTATATGTTACTCAATGCGTAATGGTGGGTTACCAGCTTTATTCGCTGACGGGTGCTATCCCTTATGTTTTACAGGTTTTGAGTAGATCGAGTGAGCGCACTAGATGTGGACCGAGATAGCGTAGCTTATCTTTCTATAGTTCTAGTTTTGTGGCCGGTGAGCCTAGACATATGAATTGTTACCTGATGATGATTTTGGTTTAGATTCTAGCCTGTGCATCTATAGATAGATAGATGTGACATGACATCCTCATATTTTGATATTAGCTTCCGCTTGGTTTTATCTAATGGATAGATTTATATTCATGATTTAAGCTTTTAAATATTGCTAAAATCGCGGGTGGTACAGTTGTCTTTAGTGTGTTGTCTTTGTGCATCTTTTGAAACGACAACAATTTTTTAAAACCGTTATCTATATGTGTTCTTTTTAAGAAAAGACAACGGTTTTATGTAACCATTGTCGTTAGTGTGTTGTATTTAAACGCACTTGAATACACAACACTACAAAGACAACGATTTTTTTAAAATCGTTGTCTTTGCGCGCATTTAAAAAAGAAGGACAACGATTTTATTTAACCGTTGTTGTTTGTGTGTTGTCTTTAAGCGCACTTGAATACACAACACTTCAAAGATAACAGTTTATTTAAACTATTTTCTTAGTGCCGCCGTTTTTTTAAGACAACGGTTTTATTTAACTGTTATCATTAGTGTATTGTTTTTAAGTGCACTCTAATAGACAACACTTTAAAGACAACGAATTTTTAAATCCGTTGTCAATTTGCATTTTGTTTTTATAAATAACAACGGTTTTATTTAACTGTTATCATTGGTGTTTTGTCATTAAACGCACTTGAATACACAATACTACAAAGACAATAGTTTTTTAAAACCGTTGTCTTTACGCGTCTTTTTTAGGACAACAGTTTTATTTATTCGTTGTCGTTTGTTTGTTGTCTTTAAGCGCACTTGAATACACAACACTTAAAAGACAACAGTTTATTGAAACCGTTGTCTTTGTGCACCCATTTTTTTAAGACAACAGTTTTGTTATTTAACTATAGTCGTTGGAGTGTTGTTTTTAAGCGAATTTTAAAGACAACGGTTTTTTTAAACTTTTGTCTATGTGCATTTTGTTTTTATAAAAGATAACCGTTTTATTTTACCGTTGTCATTGGTGTGTTGTTTTGAAGCGCACTTAAATACACAACACTACATAGATATCAAATTTTTAAAACTGTTGTCTTTACGCGTCCTTTTTTTATTATTATTATTATTATTTTATTATTTTTTTTAAAGACAACGATTTTATTTATTTGTTGTCATTTGTGTGTTGTCTTTAAGTGCACTTAAATATACAACACTTTAAAAACAACGGTTTTTTCAAACTGTATTTTTGTTTTAAAGAAACTGATTTTTTTTAATTGTTGTCGTTGGTATCTTGTCGCGAAGAATCACTAATAACCCAAAAAAAAAAGGTTGCGACGGTTCGGCCAGGTAGGCAGCCGGCTGCGAAGGAGGTCGATTCTGGCCTTCCTCAACGCGGTCGGGTGCTAGGCGCAATTTTTTCAACATTGAGTATACCTAACAAACTAAGGTCAAACTTTTGAAATAAAAAATCAAAACACTATCTTAAGGTCTGTTTGGTTTGCACATGGAAATCGAAATCGGAATCGGAATCGGTATCAAATACTTGATAATGGTAAATGATTTTAGTAAAAGTATTTTGCATGTTTGGTAGTAGAATGAAATGAATTATCAATAATGCTATTTGGTTATGTATGATCCAATAATTTATTGGAATAAACATTTTAAAAATACAAGAACACAAAATCAAGACAATTGATTTTAGGAATAAGGGTCAAATTAGCCATCCAACGTAACGTGAAAATGCAATTGGGCCACTCAGCTAAAAAAAAGTGCAATTAAACCATTCAACATTGTAAAATCATGCAATTTGTCCCAAGTGACCTGCAATGGCAGGTTACCAACAAGTAATTAATTAAGAATTTTAAAAAGAAATTAAAAATTATTTTAAAACAAAAGAAAAAAAAAAACAGGAAGCAAACTCGGAGAAAACGAAAGCCTCGTGTGACTATTTGGTGAAGCATGTGCGAATTCAGGAGCTGAGGAATATCTAGCAACATGTAATCAAGAGAAAAAAGTTAGAATCCAAGGGCCAAAACAAGTTTGATGATCAAAACAATGGTTATCGTGGAAACGGAGAAGGTGGGCAGGGGTTCCCACTGACTGGTTCCGCGGCGATTGGCTGGCGTTCTGCAAATCGGAACTCGGAGAAACACGAAAATGAAGCTTTGGGTGTTCTGCAAATCGCCGATTGGCTGGCGTTGCGACGACGGCAGTACGATGTTCGGCCATGGCGGTGGTGCGGGGTGGTGGCGCTAGCTGTCTTTCGTCTCCAGATCCATGGAGACGACGATGGGAAACTTTTTTTTTCTTTTTTAATTTTTAACTAATTACCTGCTATTCGATCAAAAAAAAAAAAAAACTAATTACCTGTTGGTAACTTGCTACTGTAAGTCACTTGGGACAAATTGAATGATTTTACAACATTGAATGGTTTAATTGCACTTTTTTTTTTAGTTGAGTGGCCCAATTGCATTTTCATGCTACGTTCGATGGCTAATTTGACCCTTATTCCTTGATTTTAATATAAAGACATTCAAAATATCAATATGAACAAAAAAATAAAAACAAAAATTTAAAAGCACTAATCCAAGGGATGATAAAGAATAAGGGAATGAAATGGTATAATACCCTTATTTTATTTAGATATGAATTTTTCAATTAAGGGGTATTTGAAACTTATAATAGAGTCCTAAAAACCTATCAACCAAACAATACCAATAACTTTGATATCCATTCCTTAGAGCTAAATCTGTCAACCAAACACACTTTTTTTTATTCATTCTTCCATAACAACAAAACACTGCAAATTAATAACTGAAGTTTATTTTTGTTCATTCTTCTTCCATACATGGATGGGTCAAGAACTGTCCTAAAAGGACCCTTCTTCGCACGACCCTAAGGCTATGCAGTTTCCCGGTCGCACAAACGTCGTTCCCTTCTTCGCACGACCTCCGCAGCAGAACTAGCTTCGCAACTCTGCCTCCGCCGCCAAGAAACGACCCTCTGCTGCCGGTTCTCCCACCTCCGCCTCCTCGCTACCAGCTGTCGCACCACCCCTGCCGCCGTCCCTCTTCCCGACCGATCTGCTGCCGTCTCCTCTTTCGGACTCGCACCAAACCCTAATCCTTAATTATCTACAGGTTAGTCCTCAAATGAGAAAGACATGGACAACATTTACGAAACACAAACAATTGAGGGTCCAAAATTTCGTTTACCCTAGTTATATAATTCGAGAATTTACTACATACGACGTCGTAACATTAATGATCTAAGGAATATGTTCGCGTAAAAGCGAAAAAAATTGAAAAATATTCTTGCTGTTCATTGCAGACAGCATTTTCTTCTTAAATCCACAAGTACTGAACTGAAGCGTGAAGTGTGAGCTTGACAGTTTGTGATTATCAACTAGGGTTTTTTTTTTTTTTTTTTTTTTTCTCGGTTCGTATAGAGATTTTACGAATTCATTTCTTTGCGAGTTCTTCGCTGGACGCAAATAGCAAAACTTATAATTCTAATTTGAAATTTGATGTTCTTTCTCAGTTGATTTTGAAGTGACTAATGGCGAACGGAGCTCATTCTGAAGATAAAACTCTACAAGCCATCTGCTACAAACGCGGCTCTCTTCAGCTCCTTGATCAGGTCCTCTCTCTATGCGTTTCTTTGTGTTTATACCTGTATTTATCTATGTATATATGACACTTGTTATGATTTAAGTTGAGGCTGGAACTGTTTAAATTTATAGATAAAGATTGATTTTATTCCTTAGTAATTACATCTGTATATTGGAAATGCACTGAGGATTGGGTTTTATCATGAAAAAGATAAGTAAAAAAAAGTATGGGGTTAATCAAAGAATTAACTTTGAGATAGAAGAAAAGCAAAGAGAGGGATGAAAAAGGGATACAGAGTGCTTTCGAAATCGAAGGAGAAGTTTGAGACTTTTATTTCTTTATATGAATCCTTTGGTGTTTATATTATCATTTGTAGGTTTATATTGAGAATCTCAATGCCCTAATCAAGTTGAAGTGACTTTAAGTATGACTTTGTTCGATTTTTTGAAGAAGTGGACTAGGAAATAGTTTCTTTTGTTTCTTGTTTCTGGGAGAGGAAGAAATGAAATTGTTAGGAAGGAGGAACTAAGTTTAATGGTGAACAACGAGAGAGTTTAACCTTTTTTTTAAAAAAAAATCTAAAAGACTAAAACTAAAATAAGAGTAGAGATACTAGGAACTAGAATCAAGTGGTTTTGAATTTCTAGGAAGAAAGTTGACTTGCTCCATCAAAGTGAATTAAATGAGTTTTTAGGAAAATGTTTTCTTTGTATTTGCAAAGCAGATTGGTCTTGCATTGCATTTCCAATGGGCGCACCTTGATGTAACTTTTTCAATGTTATTATGTCTACATTACTAATAATCGTTTTTTCTGTTTTATTGATGAACAGAGGAAGCTTCCATTACAGACGATTTATTTGGATATAAAAAATGCAAAAGACGGATGGTAAAACTTTTTAATGTTTATTGCACTTCTTTTGTTGCTCTATTCTCTTTGACCTCTTTCACCTTCCAGTTGCGAGTGAACTAAGATACATGGTTTGAAGTTTGAGCAGCCTCTTGCTGTTACATGTATTTTTTACTCATCAAGTGATGCTCTTTTCCATATAAATTAGGAACCCAGAAAAGTTTTCTTTAATATCTGAATTAATCTTTTTCCTGTGTGTATATATATGCATCAGGGATGCAATAAAAGAAATGGTAGTCCGCGGGGCACCTGCAATTGCGATAGCTGCTGCACTCTCTTTGGCTGTAGAAGCGTCTAACTTAGAGACCTTTAATGGGACAGCTCAAGATGCGGTATCTTTCCTTAGCCAGAAATTAGAATATCTTGTCTCAAGGTAACCAATGGGCCGGAACGGTAAACTATTTTATTCGTATGATCCCTTGAAATTCATTTGCTCATTTCTCTGCCAAATGGATTATGAAGCCCAGAGCAAAACCTGATTAGTTCTTTGCAGCCGGCCTACAGCTGTCAATCTTTCAGATGCTGCTACAAAGCTTAACGAAGTTATTACGAAGGAAGCTTCCACTGCTTCAGAAGCCAAGACTATTTTTGAGGTAGTCATACAGTTGCGAGCTGCTCCGTGATTTTTATGCTGTAGGGTTATGAAGTATAAAACAAATTTTTTTTTTTTTTTTTTCTAGACAAGTATCCTACGGAATAGTGAGAATTTACTTTCTAGTGCATTATAGTTTGATTGTTATCTAACTTGCTGCATCTTATTCTCAGGCTTATATTATGGCAGCTGAAATTATGCTCGAGGATGATGTTGCTTCCAATAAAGCAATTGGGTCGCACGGAGCTTCTCTTCTCCAAAATCAGCTGGTGGGCTCCAAGAAGATATCGATATTAACCCATTGCAACACTGGCAGGTACACTTTCTTGAAATGGTAGCTGGTTATCTAACTATTGGTATAGTATTCCGGTATGAAGTGACTCTCATGTTTTTCATCCTGTTGAATTCAAAAGCCTGGCAACGGCTGGGTATGGAACTGCTCTTGGTGTGATTCGGGCTGTCAATACTGCAGGGTTTTTGGAAAGGGCTTATTGCACTGAAACACGCCCTTTCAACCAGGTTAACTTGTAGCTTGCATTTGTATCTAGTTCTAATTAGTGGTATTAGTGCGTGGCAGTATACACCTTAAGTCGATTTGGAAGGTTATATACATTTTCTTTACCAAATGCCTTTTCCCGATTTGAATATCAGGGATCCAGACTGACAGCATTTGAGTTGGTTACCGAGAACATTCCTGCCACCCTCATAGCAGATTCTGCTGCAGCCGCGTTGATGAAAGCTGGACGTGTGAATGCTGTCATTGTTGGAGCTGATCGCATAGCTGCAAATGGTAAATCTTATTTCCTCTTGTGTTGTGTTTGAAAACCCGAATAATATTATGAAAGGGAATTCCGTGACATACTTGTAGGTGATACTGCCAACAAGATCGGGACTTACAGCCTTGCTGTTTGTGCTATGCATCATGGTGTACCGTTTTATGTGGCCGCTCCCCTAACTTCTGTTGATCTCTCCTTGTCTTCTGGACAACAAATTGTGATAGAAGAAAGATCTCCGAAAGAACTGTTGCATACGCATGGAGGACTGGGTGAACAAATCGCTGCTTCGGGTATTTCTGTTTGGAATCCAGCATTTGATGTTACCCCGGCCAGTTTAATAAGTGGCATAATTACCGAAAAGGTTGGCTTCTTATCTCCATCTCTTCCTCCTAGCTCATAAGCAAACCTCCACACCAATACATATGCACATGAACTCCACTAAAAGCAAAGGACCACAAGTTACCAATACATATGCACATGGGGACGGGGAGTATACATCCCGCCCCGCCCTGTTCCCATCCCTACTCTAAATATGGGTACTCACTTTCAGTTTCTAATTTTAGTTCAGATGGTTCAGCCCGCCCGATTAGCCCGACAACCAGAAGTTTAGGGTTAGGGCCAAATCGAACCCGAAAATAAAATAATAAAATAACCGATTAGCCCGACAACCCGACAGGGCTAGCCCAAAACCGAGTGGGCTGGCCCGATTGACATCCCTAGTCACGAGTCTAATCCTAGCCTTCTTGGTTTAAGTCGGTCAGCTATGGGCAACCTAGGCTGGTTTACCTCATTATAGTCCTTTGCCTGCTAGGGTCACAAGGCAGGGTTTACCTAATGCACATCCTCGGGTAGTGGTTGCGGGTTTCCCTCATCATCCCAAAAAATATGCAAGACTTAGTGATTGTATGATTAATGTGATGATGTTATCTAAACAGGGCGTCATCTCAAAGGACGGGAATGATGCTTTTGATATTACTGGTTTTGTACACAAGGTCTCGGGAAATGTATAATACACCTCTCCCTGACCGAGCTACCTACTCATACTGCGGTGAGGCAATCTTCGTTGGTAAATAAGGTTCCAGTTGTATTGCATTGAACGACTCGGTGTTGGATGCACTTGTTTAATTTGAATAAACCATCATCCATACAAGGTCACTTGTGTTGTACTTGACATGTTTAAGTGATTCTTGAGGAATCTGGCTTTGTGAGCTACTTTGTGTTTCTTTATTGCTTTTTGAATTTAGATGTGTATCTGCCATTTATCAAATCTCATATTCCTTTGGGTTTATTAATAGCAGAAAAGCTATGTGCCCAAAAACTCTACTATCTGAATACAGATAACTTGTCTGAAATTGAGTATTGAGATTTGAATCAGGGTGTGGTATTTTATTATTATTATTATTATTATTATTATTTTTTTGAGAGAGACAATTCCAATTGAGTTGATTGCACAGTTGGTTTTGCTCTTTATGAGGATGGTTTTACTAAAGGCGCATCATTGAATACCGGAGGCAAACTTTCCTATAAGTCAAAAGGGTGTAGTATTATTTATTTATTTTTTTTTAATTTTTAGTTTGAAGTAACTAGGTGCATAGGCAACTCATAAATTTTAGAATTCTTATTAATCAGAGAAATTCTCTATTTTAAGAAAGAAAAAAAAAAACAAAAAATATAATGAAAATTTTTATTAAAGTAAATTAAGTTTTAGTTCAAAAAGCAATCCTCTTGTCGTCTAGTGATAATAAATTGTTCTCTCATATGAGAGATTGTAGATTTGAGTTTTAGTGGGAGCGGTATCGACTTTTTGTGCTTTAGTAAGTTGAGAAAGTAGTTAACAAATACTGCATTGTATTAAAGTCAGTGTTACTAAAAAATATTAAGTTAGGTAAAAAAAAAGTAAAATTAACATATCTTATTTTTTAATAATAAATTCAAACTTTAAATGGTTAGATTATATTGACTTTTTTTTTTTTTTTTTTTTTTTGAAAATAAGAACAAACTTATATTAAATCATAGGAAAGCGCATTACAGATGAAGGAAGGAGGGGCGGAAAATCACTCCTTACGTTCGGACATAATAAACGGACCCCCTTGCAAGGAGATAGACTGTTCGGTTCACAGAACATTTGACGAAAGAGATACAACAATGAGCAAAAGTGCTCAACATATCTTTAATATCAACTAAAAGCAAATCAAAAGAGGTAACAAAAGCAGAAGATGAAAGCCCTTGAACAACCAATAGTGAGTATGATTCCACATGAAGAAACTCAATATTTTACCGTTTGGACCAACTGAGAGCTTCCCTGATGACTAAGGCTTCGGCTTCCTTGGGAGAGAAAACACCATTCCATGGATTCAATGTGGAATGTATTAAAAGAGGACTCTAAGAGCATCATGAACAGAATAAATTTTTTCTTAGTTCTTTTAGAGTACCTAGAAGAGAGAAAAGAGAGAGGGAGTGAAAATAATAATAATAATAATAATAATTGTATCAGAAAAAAATAAGAAAAAGAAAAAAGCAAAAAGGAATGAATTTATTTATGGAGTCATTAACTCGATTAGGATGGGTCTATATGATGGGATACAAAAGTAGGACACTTTTTAAAAGCAAACAAAGATATGAAAAGTGCTTTCATGGAATGCATGTTTGGTTAACATAAAATGCATTCTCAGAGTGCATGTTAGCTTTTTAGAAAAAAAAAAATAGTTTAAATATAAAAGAATGTAGTATTATATGTGTATGTGTATAGTATTGTCAAAGTTAATATATACGTATAACGGTATAAGTATAAATGTTACTTGTTTTTTTTCTTTTTTTTTTTTTTTTTTTTGTGAAAAACATATACTTATTTTTAGTTAATTGTTTTTAGTTAATTATTACATAATCATTTGTACTGCATTAATAATGCATAGTAGTTAGTTAATTATTACATAATCATTTCAAAAATTAAATGTAATTAGCAATAATTTGTAATTAGTGTATAATAATAATGAAAATAAGTTGTTTAATATTAGGAATCATAAAAGTAATAAAATTAGTAATAATTACATAATGACTACAATTTGTTGTAGTTAGATAAATAAAATTAGTAATTTGTTGTACTTAGATAAATAAAATTAGTAATTATCCTTTAGTTGTAATATAATAAGATAAAATAATTTATGACTATTTTAGTAATAAATATTATTTATAAAATAATATTTATTATTACGTAAATGTTTAAAAAGTAAATAGAATAATAATATTTTTGTAAATAAAAGAGAGTGATAAGTTGTATTCATATTTATGATTCATTTAACAAGTTCAGTTCACCATATATGTTGTTGTAAATGTAATATTCAACCGGCCCTGGATAAATATTCTCAACATTACATTTACCAATAAATATCATTAGTACGACATTGTCTTCTATATTGAATAGTACAACATCATCTGTTTCATCAATTTGGAAATATGTTTCTATTTCGTCCAACAGCAGTGCGAATAATCCTGCTATGAAGTAGAGCTCTAGTTCTCGATTTCCAACAATTAGCTTTAAAGTGTCGCAGAAGACTTGGGAGTTGTTGAGAAATGTACACAACAAATCATGCTAGAGAAATGTAAGGAGAAGTTAGTAAATGAAAAAATTCCTGTTGACGGAAGTTGAATGTATACGTTAACGCATGTATATTGTTTCTTACCGCTGAAGGTTTAGAGAAATCAATATACCAAGAACGTTCTCGTCTTTATAGTGCATTAAATGACAATGATGGTGGGATAGCGGACATCACCTTGACAGTTATTTGGTCTAAAATATTAAAAAGAATAATTAATATTTTTAGTTAAGTGTATAATTTATAATTTATGGATTATAGTGTAATGTTACCTTGATCATAATGGCGAGATGTTATGTAATCCCCATAACGATTAGGCTCTAGTTTCATCTCACCATTAAAGTAGTTGGGAGTGTTGTAGCCATAGTAGAAAAAAGTTTCAAAAGTGAAGAAACCAGTATGTCTAAAGAGTACAATGCCCCTAACATGCAAATCATTAACTATCATGAAATCTGATGTTCCCATAGTGAAGTGCATGTTCTCAACGGTAACTTCAATTCCTATCAAGCGACCATGACGCGAAATAGCCGTTGTAGTAAAATGTTGCATTAGATGACGATGCATGCAATTTGGAATTTTCTAGGAAAAAAAAGAGATGTATCAAATAGAAATGTAATCAATGTACTAAAACACATAATAACGAAATTAGATTGTTATACTTACCATTGTTATTGGCGACGTAATTGTAATACTAAACCATGTGATAGTGCATGTAGTAATATCGGACAAATGCTTTTGATAATTGCAAGCTGAAAACAATAGTAAAAAATTATAGTTAGTCATGAAAAAAGTAATTAAATAAAAAGTTACCGAATATTACGTGATTCATAAATAATGGCTTGTAGGCCTTGACGTAGGATCTCCGCCGAATATCTTTTGGCACCTTGCCAATCTTGAAAAACATTGGCTCCAACAAATTTGAGCCTATCATTTGTAAATATTTAACCCATGATGTCGCTGCAAAACATGCGTATTGGTTTTGACGGTAAATATGTTACCAGTAATAATAATATTAGAATAACGGATTATAACAATAGTTGTATTGCCTTAGTCTCAGTATAGAAAATACAGTGTGTCCTTTGCTAACTGAGGAGAGCCCCATTTATACTAAAGTCCTAACGGTAACAACATGAGACATAAATGGGGAGCCTAAGCCTTTAATTCATTCTCATCAATGGTGGCTTCAATGGTGACTTCAATAGCAGTAAAAGGTGGCACCTATTGGAATTCTGTCCGTTGGAGTTTTGCCTGTTGGGGTTCTGCCCGTTAGTTTCCATGTGGTGCCGGGTCGGATGCCCACTTGTGATCCGGGTCGGGTGCCAGCCCTATTATCCTGTCATCGGTCCCCCCTACTCCTAGTCAACGGATGTGTTTGAGTTGACTTGGGAGTAAGACTGAATCTTATCTTGATCCTGTGCAGAATCCTGATTGATTTAGGATATGTGATTTTATTTTCCAAATCCCTGATTTGTGCTTTCCAAATCCTTTCATGCTTCTAAAGATATTCACTTAACTTTTTTATCTCAGACTCCTCTCCAATATAAACCCTTGCCTCTGAGTAGTTTGAGAGCACCTCTTCATCAACTTCTGTCACCACTCTGTAAGTGTCCGCTGTCATTACTATTTTATCATTATGATTTATTTATGTATTAATATATGTGTATATACATGATTTTTTTTTTTTCGCGGCCGAGGCGTTGCCTCAGCCCTTTTTTTTTTTTTTTTTTGGCCGAGGTGGACTTCGGCTCCTAAGCCGAGGCATGCCTCGGCCAAACTGTGGCCGAGGCGCTCCTAGGCCAAATTGTGGACGAGGCGTGCGCCTCGGCCACTCGAGCTGCGTCTCGGTCCTGTTTTTTTTTTTTTTTTTTTCCTGACAATATGTCTGTGGTCGTGGTCGTTCTTTTATGCTAGGCAATTTTGTACCCAAGTCTTGCAAGCTTATCTGTAACCAGGTGAGGTTAGTGTCTTTCTACTTGTAATGGATATCACACCCTTGATTGATGTTGGAGAACTTGATTTTGATGGTGATGATGATGAGTACCTTCTCGAGCATGATTTCCCTCTTTTTGGAAACTTTCCCCCTCTTCCGTTTGTAGTTGACTCACCAACACCTAAGCCCGAACCGAAAAAGAAGAAAAAGTGCAAGGCCTCATACTCTTCTCTTGATAGCTCCCTCGTCCGGTCCACGCGGCCTCAACTAGGGTCACAGGATTGGGAGGATATTAAAGGTCTACTTAGTCTTGGCGTTCTGACTTACCCTCCTAAACTTGAGGATAATATCTCTGACCCACTCCTCGATAAATATTTTGGGGTCTACCTTCTGTCGCTACAGGTTGGGTTGCAGTTTCCCCTTCATAGGTTTGTGATAGACTTTATGAACTTCTACGAGATAGCCCCCGGCCAGCTTGTTCCCAACGGTCACCAGGTGATTGCGGGTTTTCTTGCTATATGTAAGGACAAAAAGATAGAACCCACGCTAGATTTTTTCCAGGCTCTTTTCGTAGTTGGTAGGGCCTCTCAGGAAGGTAAGGGATTTGTCATGGTTTTGAGTAGGCCGCGTTACAAGCTCTTTGAGGACCGCCCTACATTTAACAAGGACTGGAAACCCAAATTCGTTTTTGTCACACTTGTGGGTTCTTCGTCCCCCTTTCACGTCAAGTGGGGATCCCATCTACGTTGCCCTCCTACCCTCGACATGAGTCCTTCTCTCCGCCGAGACGTAGATGACCTAATGGGGGATGGCCTTCTATCGATCGTTGATTATACCACCGAGTGGAAACTCGCGGGCTTAGGCTTCGTGAGGATTCAACCTGCTGCTCTTGCACCCACAGGTATTCTTCTGTTACCACCTAGTCTTTATTCATTAACGACTAACTCTAACTTGCCTTTTTTCTTTGCTGCAGGTACCATGTCTTCGTCTTCGAGGTCCAGTCGATACTTGTCACGGTCGCAGGATCCCCCATCCAAGAAGAGCAAGGTAGAGAAAGGTAAGAAGAGCCAAGTTGTGGCCGAGGAGGTGATGCCGCCCCCGCCGGCACGCACGCCTACTCCATCCAAGGTCGCTAAGGGGGTGATGCAGCCTCCATCAGCTCGCACACCCACGGCCGTTACCTTTTCCCCTCAACCCCCCGAGGTGCAAGGAGACACTTCCATTGACCCCGGCTCGCGTGTTCGGACCAACTTGATCTGACTGGGAGCGGACCTGCCACCGGGAGCGTCGATAATAAATAAAAGTCTTGATGCGGTTGAGTATGCTGCTCGTATTGCTCCTCCTGCGGACTTGGAACACCTCTTCGCCATGGATGTCAACATGCTGCAAGAGCGTTACCTTCGACACATTTTTTAGGTCAGTTTTCTCATACTTATGTTCTTTCCCTGCCCTGGCGTATCTTACTCTGTCTGTTACTTTCAGGCCCTGCTAGAGGGACATATCATTCATGCCCAACGGCGGCGGGTGACGGACGCGCTCATTGAGGATGTGAAAAATAGGGATGTGGACAACAAGAGCCTGAAGGACCTGCTGTCAATCCGAGAGGGGGCTCTGAGCAAAATGGAAGGCGAGCTTGGAGCGCTAAGGAAGGAGCACGAAGCACTGTTGACTCGGGAGGGGGCTCTGAGCAAAATGGAAGGCGAGCTTGAGGCTCTAAGGAAATAGCACGGAGCACTTACACTTGCCCTAGGGAAGGAGCGGGAGGACCATGAGAGGACCCGTGCTGACCATGCCGACGCCCTTGGCCGGGCTGTGGAGGCCTACAAGAGTTCAGCTGAGTTTAAAGAGGACGCGATGCACTCCTGAGGCTGTCCGGGAATTCCTCAAAACTGGAGCTGGCCAAGAGGCGGTCGAGGCAGAGGCGCAGGTTGCTTTTAACATTAGGATGTATACGAAGCAACAGCAGATTTTTCCGGTGCTGAGGGAGAAGGTTCCAAATTTTGACCCCGTGGTACTTGGCTTGCTTGTCATAGAGAAGAATCTTGACCCTGATGTCCAGAATGAATCCACTGATGATGCTATTGATGCTCGTGAGGATTCTTTGGTGGACGAGTTTCACGGTATCAACACCAACAACGTCCCCAATGTTCCACTCGATCAGATTGTGATTGAGGACCTCACGGACAACGAGTAGTTTTGTAGTCGTACTTGAGATTTTTTCCTTGCTTTCCAGTTATATCTTTGAATAATTTGCTTTTCTATGTTTGAACTAAAACTTTGTTACTTTTTGGAATATTCGGAATAAACTCGTTACTTTATTTATTTATTTATTTATTTTGCCGAGACGGACTTCGGCGTTAGCCGAGGCGTGCCTCGGCCATCCGAGTCGAGTTGCGTCTCGGCCAACCCGTGGCCGAGGCGTGCGACTCGGTCTATTTTTTTTTTTTTGATAAACAACATGGGCGGACCATGAGCACGAGATATTATTCCAGAAAGCTTGGTAAAGGATGATAACGAACTTGCTTTAATAAATAACATGGGCGGACCATGAAAATAAGATATTATTTCCGAGAACTTTAGCATGTAGAGCGGACGGATGGCGATTACCAAGTACTAGTTCCAATGATTACCACTACAGGATATTTAAGGAAAATATTTGATCAAATGTTCCGAGTTCCATACCCGATCGATCATCCTTCCCTCTGTCGTTTTTAACTTGTATGTTCCTGGGCGAACGACCTCTTCCACGACGTAAGGCCCCTCCCATTTCTTTGTGAATTTTCCCCCTTCCAGGGGTTGGCTAGCTTCCCTTCTTCGCAACACGAGGTCGCCGACTTGAAAATATCGGGGTCGGACTTTTGCGTCGTGGTAGGACTTTAGCTGACGACTGTAGTTCTCCATTTTGCTGAATGCCGCTTCTCTCTTTTCATCTAAGAAGTTCAGATCCACCCTTTGGTGGAGTTCATTTTGTTCTGACTCGAACTCCTCCACCCTTCTACTAGGTATGATCACTTCCACCGGGGCCCGAGCTTCGAATCCATAAGCGAGTGCAAACGGGGTTTCTCCGGTGGCCCTTCTTGGTGTCGTGCGGTAGGACCAGAGGATGCCGTCGAGTTCTTCCACCCAGCTCCGCCGGCTATTTCTTGCTTTTTCTTGAGGCCGTCGAGGATGGTTTTGTTCGCATTCTCCACTTGCCCGTTCGCCTGAGGATAAGATACCGCCACTCGGCTATGCTTAATGCCCCATCCTGCTAGGAATTCTGAAAATTCTCATGCCTATAACTGATGACCATTGTCTGTGATTACCTGGAGAGGGATACCGAAACGATACAGGATGTTTTTCTCGATAAACCTTTTGCACCTTGCTGCGGTGATGCTCGCCAGGGGCTCGGCCTCCACCCACTTCGTGAAATAGTCGATGGCCACAATGATGTACTTCTTGTTCCAGTCCCCGTGGGAAGGGCCCCTACCAAGTCAATTCCCCATCTTGAAAAAGGAATTGCGGTGCTTACCGGGGTGTAATTTGTCGCAGGTCGACCTGGTAGTGCCTGGAATTCTTGGCACTTGGGACATCGCTTTATACACCCGGCGCAGTCCCTCAGCATTTTGGGCCAAAAATACCCTTGTAAATGATGCGCCGTGCAAAGGTGTACGCCCGTTAGTGCGCGGAGCATACCCCCTCGTGGACTTCTTTCATCACCAACTTGGCTTCATCTGGGTATAGACACCTCAGTAACGTGCCGTTGTAGGAGCGTTTGTATAGCTTATCGCCCGAGACAACGTAGCTGGGTGCCCGTAACTTTGTTACCTTTGCATCTGCCTCGTCTTGCGGTAAGGCGTCATCTGCCTTGTATCGCTTGATATGGTCAATCCAACATGGCTCCCTAGTCTGCACAGGGAAGACCCATGAAACATCGATACTTGAAGTCTCGAGGTCATCTAGCCGAGCGATCTTCCTGATGTGGCTGGGGACTCCGGTACTTAGTTTTGAGAGCATGTCGGCGTCGGCGTTCTGCTCTCTTGGTACCTGGTGTATTTCATATCCCTCAAATTCGCGCAAGGTTCTCAGCACCGCGTCTCTGTATTTCTGCATGCTTCCTTCATTGGCTTCATACTCCCCAGACACTTGGCTAACTACCAGCTTGGAATCGCATCGAATTCGGACCTTTTCAGCTCGTAGTCCTGCCGCCAACCGCAGCCCATTGAGGAGGGCCTCATATTCCGCCTCATTGTTAGATAACTTGAAGTGGAATCAGATGGCATAGTAGGCGCGGAATCCCTCCGGAATGATGAGCACTACGCCGCCGCCGCAACCTTTGCTGTTGGAAGAGCCATCTATGGACAAGGTCCACCACCCTCCGTCTTCAGTTTCTACCTGGTCCGTCACTTCCCAGGCTGTGCACTCCACTATAAAGTCTGTAAGAGCTTGGCCTTTAATGGCGGGCCTCGGTTTGAGATCTATGTCAAACTGACTGAGGTGCATGGACCACCGTGCCATCCTGGTGGAGCTGTTAGTATTTCGGAGGAAGCTCCCCAACGGTTAGGGTGAGAGCACGTGGATGGGGTGAGCTTGGAAGTAATGAGCCAACCTCTTTGACGAAGTGACTATGGCAAATACCGTTTTCTCCAACACACTGTACCGGAGCTCCGCGTCGTGTAGGGCTTTAATTACGTAGTAGATGGGACACTGAGTCCCTCCTTCTTCTTTGACCAGTACGGAGCTAATCGCACCCTGTGACACGCCCAAGTACAAGATTAAGGTTTCACCTGCCTCTGGCTTTGCAAACAGGGGCGGGGACAACAAATATTTTTTCAATTCCTCAAAGGCCTTCTGACAATCTAGCGTCCATTTGAACCCTTTGTTCTTTTTCAAGATTTGGAAGAAGGGGAGGGATTGTTCAGCCTATTTAGATAGGAAACGGCCTAAATCCGCCAGACGCCCGTTGAGCCTCTAGACTTCCTTTATGGACCGCGGAGGCTCCATGTCAAGGATAGTCCTTACCTTTTCTGGGTTCGGTTCAATGTCGTTCCTAGTGACCATGAAGCCCAAAAATTTGCCCCCATCAACGGCGAAGGTGCATTTTTTTGGGTTCAAGCGCAAATTAAATTTCTTCATAATGGAAAATACCTCGCTGAGATCCTCAACATGAGAGGTGGCCTTGCGACTTTTGACGATCATGTCGTCCACGTATGCTTCCATGTTTCGTCCCAACACCGTCTTAAACAGCTTTGCCACCATGCGAGTGTATGTGGCTCCGGCATTCTTCAATCTGAATGGCATGACCAAGTAGCAGAATATCCCCTCGGGAGTGGTGA